CGGCTGAGCAGACGACATTTATAAAATGCAAAGAGATATACATATGCATACAAGGCACTTGAAGAAGAGTACAACAATTTACAAAGAAATATATACATGTGCATACAAGGCACTTGAAGAAGAGTACAACAATGTACAAAGAAATGTATACATGTGCATACAAGGCACTTGAAGAAGAGTACAATCAAAATGTATGTATATACATATAAATACAAACTCATATACAGATATATAGTACACATTTACATACATAGATATTCCGAAACAAATAAAAGTATACATACTCTCACTCATATTGATATATACACCCACACATATACGTTATCATGATAGTTAAAGTTTACAAGAAGCATGCCATTGAGGTACGCGTGATCCTTAGTATAAATTAGGTACCGTAAATAAAAGATGGTACCATAAATAAAGATATAAACATGTACAGATATATTACAGCATTCAGATGCAGTACGAACTTTATGTATGAGAACCTGGCACAGGATAAATACAAAATTACATATTGAACATACATATCACATACTCTGTTGCTGACATATTGAACTAGCTTATATAGACTTTTATGACTACTGTCTTCCTGTGTCAGAAGAGTAATTGCTTGTGTTGTGTAGCGAATTTAATTTAACTAAGTGATTAATAAAAATCAAAATTTTAAAGTTATAATTATTCAAAATTTGAGCTACACAAGTTTGGTTATATTCTTTTTGGGCCTATTAATTCTAGTGTAATATATTTTGGCTTTCCGAGTTTACGCGAACTGCGTCTTCAATCTTGTACATGCAGACAATGGATAAGTATTTTTTGTTTCTGCGTAATAAACTCAGTTTTTCATGTCAAAAATTAATTTGATTCCTTAGTATTTAATATCATTAGTTGCAGAAAAATTAGCTCTTTAATTTGGCATAACTTTCATTTTTCTAACTTTAATTGCATTTCAGTTATGAGCTTTAATTAGTAGATTTTCTTCGTTTCGCTTGTGATTTAGTTAAAGGGGGATGAAATGCCTTCTTTCCGGTTGAAAAGTCACTTTTCGAGAGTTTTCAGCGTTCTTTCGTTGGGACCCTTGCAGGGTTGTTGAAATTCCTAATCTCCCCCGGTTGCAGGTGGCAGTTATTTGGCGAGGGTTTTGCGACTTGGATTTTCCGTTGAGGTTTCAAAATAGTGGTTTTGGCGAGTTTGATAACATGAGGGTATGCTGTGGTTGCAACTTATTTTAACTTTTCGGCGAAAAAATGGGTTGCGCCAACTTGGCAGTCCGGCGCTCTCCCTTTTAACGGGTTGTTTTAGGGGGACGAGCTGACCTTTTGACACTTTTTGACACTTTACTTCTGTTGCCCTTTGAAATGCTTTCTGACCTGTCCGAGGCGACAGCTGACTTCCGACCGAAGAAAATGGAGCTTCTTCCCCTGATAGGCCTACGGGCCTCTTGGCTAAGCGCTGTTGAGCGCGGGCCGTAGGTATGGGCATCTATGTCTTCAAAAAAAAAAAAAAAAATACAAATCGAAATTCTTTCATTCTTTCATCAGTTTTGTTGTGGGTGTTTGTATATCTCAAGGAAAATATACAGAAGTAAATTTCTAGAAAAATGATGCGCACCATTGATTCTTCGCTTCACTCGAGACCAGAGCGTTAATTAAAAACCATTGCTTTTGGAACCTCATTTGCTCATCCTAAATTCTACTAGAACTTCAAGGCTACCATAATGAATAAATTAAACACGTTGCTTTTGGAACCTCATTTGCTCATCCTAAATTCTACTAGAACTTCAAGGCTACCGTAAGGAATCAAACTGTTCTACGAACATCTTTTTCCATTCAACAGGCCGCCAGCACTGTATTTCACTTATCTTGCCGTAATGGAACCTCAATTGTTCATCCTAAAATCTACTAGAACCTCTAGGCTACAGTAATTGAATCCAAACTGTTCGACGAACATTTTTTTTTCTTTTCATTCAACAGGCTGCCAGTATTCCTCATGAGCTTCGATGGATTTCTTTTGTTTGATGATCCTTAACAGATAAGTTCCTTTTTCTTTTTGGTTAATTCTTGGTTAGTTAAATATTATAGATTTCTGCAGTTAAAATGATTGAATCAACTTAATTTGTTAATTTGTTGAACCCTAAAATTTTTTATTGTAGTTGATAACTTTATCCTAACTCTATAGAAATCATTTTTCCTTGGTGTATCAATCAAGTAAAAGCTTTAAATGGAATAAAGATTTATAACCTTATTAAAATTATTGTATTGTAACTTAACTTAATGGTTAAGAAAATTAAGTTCTTCAGGAAATTATTTACTTTAATGTTTTTTTTTTTTTTTTTTTTGAATTACTCATTGGTGAGGATGATTTGAAATAGTGCTTGTATTAGAGCCTTCTTGTGTCTCAGGACGAACTTGTTTGTAGAATAGTAAATGTGTCATTACTTATCTTATCCGGTTAAAACCATATTTAATTAATCTAAGAAAAAAATTGAATAATAAAAATTATTATGTGCAATAATAGATTTAAATGATTATATTGAGTGCAATATTAAGCAATAATTTTTGTTGTATAGATGAATTCTGTGTGAAGTAGAAAGTGTAGCTTGTTAATTTTTTTTTATTATTTTCTCCCCAGGGAGGGTAGTGTTTCTTAAATTTATAGTTTATTTTGGTATGTTTTACCAGATTTGCAATATTAAATGTCATAGTAATTACAAGGATGTAAAATGTGTAAAACAATAGTTCAAATTTTGTTGAATATATTTTGATATTTTTTTTTCAACTAATGGATAGATATATATATTTATAATTGGCATTAATAGTTAAATAAATAAGTTTTTCTAGATCATTCAAAGGTTAAATTTTTGTGTGTGTGCTCATGATTTTCACCCGTCTCATTCTCAAGTGATATCAGGGTTAATCCGAAAACACAACGCAAATGTACAGGGCTTATTGATATTAATATATTTATGTTAAAAAATTTTAAGTGTTATGTCAACAGAGTAGGAAACCATATTGATTTTTCTATAACAATTATTGGTATCATGATTTTTCACCATAACATATTGGTGCCATTGGATTTCACATAACACTTGTACAGTAGTGAATTATTGTTTTCAGTTTCCACTGGGCAACTCTGTTACTTTGTAGATTCTGGAACCAATTTGGCCAGAATCTGGCTCCTGGTTGCTCGAGGCTGTTAAGAGCTGTACTGCGATACCGAAGGGCCCGGGTTCGAATTCCGGGGAAAGCATGAATTCAAAATTGTCTGTGCCTTAATAAGAGGTAACGGTGGCCGCGTATTATGGGCTTCCACAATAAAATTATTTACTTTATTAGGTGCCTCCACAATAAAATGGCCACCACTTCTGGCCGTAGAAGTGGCCAATGCCGTTATAGGCAAGGGACTGCCATTGGGAAAAATTATACATATAAAGTAAAAAAAAAAAAAAAAATCAAAAAATTTTAGAAAACAAATTTTAAAATTGCTCGTATATTTATAAAGAAGGCAGCATGAGATTTAGTAAATCAGTGCATAATTAAAACTCTTGAATTTTGAATTTGCTCTTACCGTATTTACTCAAAAACGAACTCGCATTAACAACTTGCAACAAATTAGAGCTTCTAATCTCAAACAATAACTTGTAACAACAAATTAAAGTTTGTAACAATTAAAACTTGTAATAAGATTGTAACAATAACAAATTAAAATTTGTTCGCTCAATCAACCGTTTATAACCATAAACTGAAACTTGTAACAATAAATGTAATTAAATCTTGTAAATCAATCAACAAAATAACAACTCGTGCATTCAATTCAAACTTTTAACAGCAAATTAAACTTCATTATAATTAATGCTTATAATTTAACATTTTGCATATACAAGGTATCACATAATTATTGGTACAAACTTCATGGACAGGCAAGGCACCTCAAATGGATTACGAATCGCATGGCCATAAACATAAAGATCAAGTAATATCAGAGATACAAAAAAAGAAAAGATACAAGACAGAAGTTATCAGATTTATTTATTGTTCATAAATGTTAGATAATATTGCAGCAGATGATACCATTTCGAAATATTACAAGAGATGTTAAAAGTTTCCACCATTACAAGCGATGCATGCTATATGCCAATGGATCATGAATTGGCGGACATGGTCAGAAACACGTGGATTTGCTTGGATATTTGCGGCAGCGCAGACGATTCTTGTAACCATATATATTTCAGAATCGACAGGCTTTTCATACATCACAACTTTAAATGCTTCCCACAGAAAGAAAGCATGGATGTTCAAATGCGGAGAACGGGGAGGCCAGGCGACTGAACCACCTCCCCAATACATCGCTGACCAAGCAAACCACGCAAATGTTCTTCGAAAATATCTTCCATAATAGGCAGGCAGCCCATCATGTAGAAACCACATATTGCTTCTCACATTTGTAGCGCAGGGGGAAGCCTGGTAGAACCTGTCCTGAAAAGATGAAATAATTTGCTGATGCTTCAGGTGATGGCAACTAGTAAGGCCTGAATAAGCAATCGCCGACCAAATCAGCCCAGACATTGCGAATACACCTAGCGGCGAATGATGAAGTTTGCGGTCATAGGTAGCTTTTGCATTTCTCAATCCTTTCGACAGGCCCTAAACTTTTTTATCAATAATTATGGATGCTCTGCATATTCCCTGCTTCATGCGCAGTTGAGTGTTGGGAGTAAAGTCTAAAATTAAAATGTTTTGTCGTTTTGCGCATAGAATTATTACGTTCTTTCGATACATATTTCTAGACCACCTGCCATCAACACTATTTTTTTTTTTTACATTCTTCGCTTTTAACTCCAAGAAAGATCACTTGATTGAAGTAAATAATAATCTTTTAATAAAAGAGCAGCATGTGATAATTACCTTTGAATGATTTAATGATTGATGCCAGCTTGTGGTTGATTGAACTGAGTGAAATGTTTTGGAGGTGGAATTCATGAAAGTTGCACCATTTCGTTTCAGATCATTGAAGAGTTGAACAGCCTCGTAGCCACTTTCAGGGATCTTTTGATCCACGTGGGCAAAGGTCACGACAGCCCAGAAGTAAGAGATAAGTTGAAGATAGTACGGAAGAAATGCCAGGAGCGCTGCTCAGCTGCCAACAGGCTTCTCATGCCTCAAATTCGAAAGTAAGCGTTGCACAAATTTCGTCTTTTAGCCCCAGTAATTTGCATGATTAAGTAGCTTAAAAATAATTGAAATGTTAAGTAATAAATGAGGGATATGTGATTAGGTAGGAAAAATAAACATTATTTTGGGTATTTTGCTTACTTAATCGCTAGATAGCTAAAATTTTTAAAAAAATTCCTTTTAATTAGCACCAGAGGTGCTATAACGTGTAACGAGCCAGTTTCCCTCAGAAATTCCTCTGCGAAGGCATCGCTCCCTGAGGCAGACAACCCTCGAGTGCTGTGTCATAATAATAATAATAATAATAATAAAAGTAGCGAATATAAAAAAAAAACATATGGCGACAAACAAAAATGTATGGCATAAGAAATAAAAGGATTTTTCCATTAATGTTAGAGCCATGTATTTTTTAAAGAAATAATATAGTGAATTGAAAAAAATGTATGATTACTTTTTAAATACTCTATCCAGAATGCTGTAAATAAGCTGATTTGAAAATGTTTTGTGATTTTGCTGTTGAATTTTATGTGTTGTAAGCGCGAGAAAATGTGATACTCAATAAATAAAAACAACAAATTAATACTAAAAAGACAGAAAAAGTTGTTTATGTCATCTTACTATAAAACTGAAAACTGATAAAAAAAAAGACTGAAATAAAATAAATAGCAAAATTTAACAGCATACGGAAATTCTCAAGATATGCGGTTTTAAATATTTTGTGATTTTGCTACAGAATTTTATGTGGCGTAAGTATAAAGAAACGATATTTGATAAAACGTTAAAAGAAAGAGGAATGAGTCCAAGAGTAGATTGATAAATTCCGAGCAAGAGGATAAAAGTTTTACAACGTTGGTTCTCAAAACATGACAGTGAGTCCCGAAAGGTTTCCAAGCGTTTTTTCCTTACTCTACACTCGTATTTCAGATTAGCGGTAACAAGAAATTACTCATATTTCGTATATCAGACCATAGGAACAGCAGACAATTCTCGAAAGGCCTACTAAACCTCAATGCAAACAAAAGAATTTGTAAGCTATTTTTTGTTTCAGCGACGTCGCTGAGGGCATACCTGTCGACAGCCAGCATCTCGTGAATCTCGTTTGCTGCACACAACTATTGCTCAGGGAGATCCACAAGTGCAGACTGCTCGTGATGTCCCACCCCATGGATATGACCAGTTATTATGGTGAGTAGGCATTGCACTATAAGTTTTGTTAAAATGCTTTCCCTTTAATTCCTGAGAATGCATTTCTTGAAGGGATAAAATAAAATGTCTGGGACGCAGAATATCCTGAGTATCTTGACCCCAAAAGATGTGCCAAAAGCATCACCATTTGACATCTTGTGGATAACTTGTTAAGTCGCAATATTCAGAGACAACCTTAGGTTATCCTGAGATTTCTCATTCGCGGATGAAGACCTTGTCATTTAACATTTTGAAGATGTTTTATTTAAGTCGTTGTATCACGGTGGATGCCAAGATGTCCCGAGGATCTTGATTTTCAGCTTTTTTTAGGACTTAGTCCTCAAGACAATTTCCATTGATTTCCCGATGATATTCGCTCTGTATCTCAATGGAAATTGTTTCTAATTATTCCATATACTTTTTCAAAAACTAGCTAGCACGTAAAACGAAAATCTCGAGTTCTGTAGAAGTAAAAATAAAATTTCCTCTCTTTACCACAGAAAGACGACCGAGGTCATCCGGAGTGGCTGTGCTTGATAAACTGATATTATGGAGGCCGCCATTACATGATTATCATCAAGAAGAGCTCATTTCCATTCAAATGTAAGTTAAGCATCTTAGAACACTTAGAAATTTTAAAAAAGTGTTGCTTTAAAGATCAGTCTTGATTTTGAATAATGCTCTATCGATTTCGACGGGAATCAGACATAAATTGTTCCTTTTGGGGGAGTCTATATCATGTGGTCTCAGGACATGAATCTCGGGTTCCTGGGACGAAGCCTTATCTCAGGGTAACACCTGTAGGTTTTCCTTGTCATAGACAACATAGGGCATTAGCATAGTAATTATTTATTGTTTAACAACAGAAATCGAATCAGAAGGATAAGCCATGTTTGTAGAGTGATTGCAATGAAGTCTAAGTCATATTAGTATTTGACAGAAAAATAAGAACTAAGGAAATACGAAAAGTTCAGCTATGGCCCTAGAGGGTTGGCTAAGGGCGTACGTCAGGCAGCAAGGTTGAAGTGTCAGGCAGAAGGTCAAATGAACAAGTGTTGGTCTTCAGCAAGGGAGGCGTAGTCAAGTGATGAGAAGTCAAGAATTTGGTGATTGGTTGTTAGTAGAAGAAGCGAGGTACAGGCTTTGGTTAGGGGAAAATGGGGGAGTTGCACTTTTGAACCCTATAGACAGCACATTTGACATATAAATACTGCTGCATATAAGTATATATAAGTATTAGAATCTTCCTCCTATCACATCTCCTTCTCAAGTTCGGAACATCATTAATAAACTTAAAACGAGGAAAGCTTCTGGTCCTGACAGTATCTGTAATGTTGCTCTTAAGAATCTTCCTTTAAAGGCTGTTGCCTGTTTTACTAAGATAATCAATTCCTGTCTTCAGCTCCATCACTTTCCTGATCAGTGGAAATCTGCCACCATCACTACGCTTCCCAAGCCTAATCAGAATCTTCTCTTTTTTAAGAACTACAGGCCTATCAATCTTTTAAGTGCTGTCTCCAAGGCTATGGAACGTGTTATCCTCAACATTCTCATCAACAAATGCAATATCCTTAATTTTCTCCTCTAGAGCAGTTCAGATTTTGGGCGAAGCATAGCACCACTCATCAACTCCTTAGAGTGGTCAACACAATCACCGGGACATGAATACCAAGTCCACACTGGGACAGTCTTCTTTGACATCGCAAAGGCATTTGACCGGGTCTGACACCAGGTTCTCATTTATAAACTCATCCAACCTAAACTCTTAGTCATCCATCTCATAATCTCTTTCCTCACCAACCGGAGCTTCAAGGTACGAGTGGGGAGTACTTCTAGCTAGAGTATCTAGAGTACTCTTCTAGCCGCCGCATTCAAGCCGGTGTTCTACAGGTAAGTGTGTTCTTGGGCACATCCTTTTCAAACTATACACTCATGACATCCCTCACGATCCCAGGATTCAGCTCATTCATTTTGCGGATGATACTGCTATCTTGACTCAACCAGCCAACTTGAAATACGTTAGAAATCTCCATCAAAGCTACTTTCTTACTTTTGGAGGCTGGTATACCAAACAGCGCTTTGCTGCCAACACACAGAAATCTGCCGCAATTACCTTCCGAAAAGGAAATTCCAATAGAACTCTAGATCCCCTCCTCCTCTTTGGCGAAACAATAGACAACACTATCTACCTTGGATTAAATCTCAAGAGCAAGCTTACCTTCAAAAATCATTTCAAGAAAGTTCATGAAAAAATTAATTATACTATTTACAATATGTTCTCTCTTCTTGGACGCTACAGCAAGCTCTCCATCAAGAACAAGCTATATTGCACAAGCCTGTCCTTCGTCCTGCTCTCCTCTACGTATCTTCTGTTCGGTTCCATGCCGCTAACTATAAACTTCACCAGCTACAAGTTCTTCAAAACAAAACTCTCCGAATGATCTTTAATTCCCAATGGTATATCAGGAACTCTGTCATTTATCATGACTTTAAAATTCAATATATCAATGAATACATTAGAAAAAACACCATTAAGTTCCACCTTTCCGCCAACTTCCATCAAAATCCAATTATGTGCAATCCAAAACACAGTCTCTTTCCACTGGAAAAATGTGCTTATCCTGCTTTGATCCGTATGTGTTACAAAGTAACACACACGGATCAAAGGGAGCTTCGCTCCCGTTACTTCATTCAACTTATGGTCAAGTCAAGTCATGTAAGTACAAAAATTAAGAATATGATAAGATGCAAAAATAGAAAGTAAAGTTAAATACAAGTTGTAGAGTCATTCGGATCCTTTTGAAAGCAGAAGGCATTAAAAATGAGCAACGCCCTTGCCGGGACTCGAACCATTTATCTCTCGAATACGTGTTAAGAGTGCTGACCACTTCACCACGAAGGCATGCTTTCGTTTTATGAGTTTTATTAATCGCTGACATTTCACTTTCGCAATTTTTATCACGCATGGATATTTAGATTGATATTCACGACAAGTTATCACTCTTTACATAGAGAAAATGACTCAAGGTATTATTAGCCTCGAATATTATGTATTTACTAACACGTGTGGATTAAGAGGATTCAAATGTACAGTTTTTTTATTCAGCTGATATGAATTGGAAGTATTACAATGAACCTAATGTTTTCTTATTCCAGTGCTTGCAATCTTTTGATTTTTAAAAGAATACAATACAAAGTGAAATTCAGAATACATATTGCGTATGACCTGATTATATCCATTGCTAACATTAAAAGTTGTATGTGAATAAATTCAATACATTCGTTGTGAAGGAATAAATTCATTCTGTTTGAGTATTTCTTGTGTAGACAATACATTTAAAAGTGAGCAGTTATTAAATGTGAAATTTAACATACTAAATGTATACGAATGGAAATTAGTAAAGTTCACTTTGAATAAAATTCTGCTTGGCTATTATTATAGAACAGCTTTTTCATATAGAATGCAATAAAAAGTACTGACTTCTATTTACATATATAATTGGTGGAAATATTTTTCTCATATGCATAGTTTTATATAAAATTTTATAGATTTAAAGTTTTATATATTTCATTTGGGCTCGATGTTTAAAACATAGTTCTTTCTTCATCTTATTTATCTTATTTATCACTTACTAAGTAATATTTCACGTGAATATTTTTTAGGAGTATCCAATATGTGCTTGTATTTATCTCAAATTCTTTCAACCAAGTAGTGAAATCGTCACAATTGGTTATATTTGTTGCACAATCGTCACAATTGCTCATATTTGATCTAACTTCGCAATGAAAATTTTCAGAAGAAAGTGACGATGCTTTAATTATTTTGTACAGAAAATTGCGTGGCAAAATATTTTCAACCATCTTGCTTAAATCTTAAAGCGCGCGATAAGTAATGTGACATGATAGAAATATTACTGGATGCCCATTGGTCCATCCTATAAGCCACTCCCTCGGTGGCTGCACAGATGTGCACTTGGAAAATATGCGAGCGGGGACCAGGGGACACAACGCCAAATTCTAGGGGTATAAAATCATTATCCACCACCTTTTTTAGTTCGGGTGCCACTGTAGGTTATTTTGAAGCAGGAGACATGAAAAATGAGCAATGCCCTCGTCGGATCTCGAAACACGGAGCTCTCGAATACGCGTCAAGCATGCTGACCAGTACATCACGAAGGCATGCTGAGAAGGCGGGAGAAGTATATTATAAAGTAATTCCAAATAAGCATAAATGGATCATGGACAATATATGGAGAGGCTTTTCTCATTACCTTTCATAATTTTTAAATATGGAGACCGAACAAGAGCGGTTAGAAATTAGAACAATAGGTAAGTTATCATAAAGTCCTAAGTACTGCGCCAGACCTGCCTTGCTTCTATTATCATTTGGATCGTAGTCCAATACTCGATTTGAATTATTTTCAACAAGGTAAACCTTGTCATGTAATATTTCGACGGATGGGGTAATTTGCGAAGATGGGAGGAGCCACAACCATTTTATTTACGTGCATGATCAGAGGAGCTAATTGTAAATTGTGGATATTAAATTTTCCGTTAACTTTCAGGGTAAATGTTTACGAATCACTATTTCAATATGCTTTTTTCCTCTCTTTGCAGGGATATGGATTCTGTATCCGCAATGTTAAATGAGATGTTGGATTTTATGCCTCAAGAAACAGGAGGTAAAATTGACTTTAGTTGCATTAACAATTGCGTGTATTTTATTGCCCCATATCATTCATTCCAAAGTATCCTGGGTATTTAACTTTACTTAATGGGAAATGTTGCTGAATATTCAACGTTTGGTAAAGAATGTTATTAAAAATTTAGGTATAAAATGTAACCTATCGTCCAAACTACGCCAAATCCGCGAATCTATGAAACTTTTATCTTTAAAAAAGGAAGTGTGGAAGATTGGCCCGTGTATGGTTTCGAGCCAAATCGAATTATGGCTTCTAAAAATTAATTCTGGTGTAAATTAATTCTTAAGCTTATCCATATAGGTCCTTTTATTTTCACAACTATATTATGCAGACACATACATTCGATTACAAAAGTGCTTTAAACATCATTAGTATTCATGTTACGAGATCTTTTAGTTTTAAAATGTCAATATTATAAAAATTACAAAATCTAGCATTTTAACGCCTCCCCGCTCGTATAGCTATGTCTATTAAATGCTTATGCTCACGTAAGGAAATAAAACACAAAAAGTGTGACTTCTTTACTATATAAATTGATGGAGATATTTAATTTCGAAGTTTGGAATTCTTTTAGATTTTCTATACCAGAATTGAGTTTTTAATCCATTTCCTCGTAACTGCAGATTGAAAACATTATAACCATGGGGAACGCCTTAGCGACAAAGCCAGGAGTCTCCATCCTCCTATCACAACTTCTTCTAGGTAACTTTCAGTTCGATGATATTTTAAGTTCATTAGTGCCGGAAAGTTACTGCACCCTTAGAAAAATTCACAGCTTCTCTAGGATTCGAACCAAGGTATTGCGCCATGGCAGCTAATCTTGCCGTATTGTTATATGAGAGAAAATCTATTTTGATACCGAATTAAGTTCGAAAGAAAAAATTTCAATTTATTTAACACAGGGTTTCTTAAACAGGGTTTGGTTTAACACAGGGTTTTGGTGTGGGGAACCCCATAATATTTAGGAAACTTTTGTGGGATCCTATAGCCTTGGGCAAATCCGACACACGCGTGAGTGAAACTGTCGGTTTCTTCACTTGTACTGTAATATAATATTGCAGTTTTAGGTCATTAACTTCAAATTTTGAAATGAATGTTTCGATTATGAAAAAAATACGTCGAAACATTTTCATTTTTCTTTGTCTGTATTATCTTATCTTTATCTATTTTCAGATACATTGTGTAAAAATATTTGGTATTTGTAAAATTATTATAAGCTAAAGAAATATCAAAATTGCTGAAATTTTTGTCGATCCCAGCTGCAGTTCCCTCGAGGTTCTGGGGGTCGCGGACCACAGTTTAGGAAACTCTGATTTTAGAGATATCTTTATGTTTAAAACTAAAAGTAAATTCAAAATACAGCCTAAAAGAAACAAACTGTTGCATTGCGTATGCAAGATCGAAAATTTCATTCCATTTAAATAATGATCAATAAAATCTGTACAGTGATTAATAAAAACATACATATTAAAACTGAACAAATTTTAGTGATCAGCTGACTGTCGAAAATATATATACTATACTAAATTGTTTTATAAGAATAAATTGAACTTAATTAAAAAAATTTTAAAAAATCAAATTTAAATACATATTTAATTAAATATTCTTTGCGCCATTGCTGCAAGGAATGAAATTTAAATTTAAACAAATTTAAACCTAATTTTTAACAAATACGTATAAAAGTAAAACAGCAAATTTAAATTCTAAAAAAGGAAAAAGCCAAAATAATTTTAAAAAAAAAATGTGCAAACATGTAAAAGATTCAACTCTCGAACCAATCCACAATATCATTCAAATTCAGAAACACAAGCAAACCAAGTGCAAAATCAATGTATGAAAACAAATTCACTAATTTAATAAATTAAAATTAAATTAAACAACCCTTTTAAAAAAATGCATATGTGAATGACCGTTGAGTAGGCAGGAGACAGACTTATCAAGGGGAAGTTGCCTCCAAACCTAACTCTCCAATCATTCAATTCGTGTTTCGTCATTCATGCAGGCAAGGGTAAAAGTCAAAACCAAAAGTAATTCCAACAAAGTGACACCCCTAGAAATCAACATCTAAGAATTAACATTTAAGAATTAAAGTTCAAAAAGGAAAATACCAATGAAGTCCTCTGAGAAACAAGCAAGTAAAGTCAAGAATTAAACTTTTTCTTAAAAAATCGAATTTTTTTTAAAAAAATAATTTTTCATAAAAAAATAATAAAAAAATCCAGAAACCAATGTATCCCAGAAGCCCCTGTCCACAGAAACTTCCCCTACACGAATATGCATATCAATAAAAAGAAACCAAAAAAGAACCAGACACAATCCATATAAATCAATAAGAAACAAAAAGAACCAATTCACAATTTTTCAAAAAAAAAAAAAAAAAAAAAAAAAAAAAAACCAAATATATATTCAAAAACACAATTTCAAATCCAGAAAACACCTAGATACCACATAAAAAATTTTAAAAAATACTTAAAGCAAGTAAATAGTAAGTTTTAACTCTAACTTACCTACTAATGAGTGTTGGAGTCTGCAAAAGTGTTGTGAAAGAGAAGCAAGTGTGTTCTTCAAATTATATAGATGGCGCTTATGTAGGTAAAGTTGAGTGTCAAGCTGCTATCTTTGTTATAGTAAAAAAATTTTATGTAAACATTAATATTAAAAATTAAATTAAATTAAATTAAAAATTTAAAATCCTACAGGTAGTAATTATCAATTATATAGGGAGTAAGTAACTGAGCCAATCAAGAGATGTAAGTTTGCTTGAAGGAAAATAAAGTGAAGTGGTTTTGTGAATAAAATGTAAACTGTTTGTAATGTGAAATGTGTGTTCTGTTGAAAAATTGTGTAAAAAAAGTTAAGTGAAAAATCTTTTGTGAAAATTGCAAAAAATTAAAGTAATTAAGAAAAACTGAAATGTTTTAATATTAAAGTTGTAAAGTGAAATTTCCCAAATTTTTTTGAAATGAAGTCCTTAAAGAACCTCTAAAAAATTCCCAGAAATTTCTCAAAAATTCCTTTAGGAAGTTAATTAAAATTTAAATTTAATGAAAGAAAATATTAAAAGTTTAATGAACTTGATTTCAATTGGTATATCAAAACTTAACTAAATACTGGCTAAAGTATGGAAAATTAGAAGAAGATTAAAATCTTCACTCAATTCGGGCTATAATTGAGACTTTTGAAAAGAGTTGGCCCTTTATTAGTAAAAGGAAAGAATCCAGTATTGATTAAATATACATATTTACAAAATATTTACAATAAAAATTTACAATAATTTCTCTACTCTTTTATATCCTTCATAACCCTCCAGCTAAGGTTTAAGGTAATGTTATCATATCCAAAAGAGCCAAAAAATTATAAAGTAAAGTCAAGGCCTGCCTTTTTAATATATAAATTAATAAATTTTGGTGGTACTTGGTTATCAACCTGTACATTAATTAGCTTTATTATTTCTTCCTTTAAATCGTCTATTTCAGTACATATATTTTTTATTCTGATAATTTGGCTATGAAATGTGTTTTCTATTACTTTTCTAGAGATATTAGAGTTACAATTAATTAGTTTAATAGTAGGAAAATGGAAATTCCTTCTTTTATCAAATAATTTAATTTTGCTGTGTTTAATAATTTGCAGGTCTAGGAATTCAATAGTATCTTGATTCGTATTCGTTTTATTAAGTGTTAAAACTATTTGGGTAAATTTTGAATTGCTCAAAAGTAGAATTATTATTGAAAGTTATAATATCATCTATGTATCTAAAAGTATGAGCAAATAGCTTTAATTCATTTTTATTTAAACTTAGTTGGAATTTATATTCAAAAGTAAAAAGAAATAGGTTACAAATTTTGTGTAGAACTGTTTGCTCCCATAGGAATTCCTCTAACTTGCTGAAAGATCTTATTATTGAATTTAATGTAGTTATTAAAAAATGCACAATTCAGATAAGTATTCTATCTTTCAATACAAAGGATGTCAAGTATGTCAGGAAAAAGTTGTGGGAGTTGCATTAAACTAGTAAAAATTTCTTCTAATGGTAGAGAAGTATAAAGGTTTTCAAAGTCATAGCAGTTAATGTTCTTGATTGTTAGACTTTTAAAACTGCTGAGAACTGGAGCATTATTATAAATAATCCAACTATAATTGTGTTGTTTGTTAACGAGATGTTGGATTAAATTACAGATTTTTTAAGTATAATTGCAAATATGTAATCTATATTCTTTTTATAATTATTTGTACCATTAGCAATAAATCTAAATTTGAGTGGTGATTTATGAAATTTTGGGAGAGCATATAGATTTGCTAATCTATTGTAGTTAGATGGTTGTGAAATTTGCAGTTTCTTATGAAATGCTTTTAGCTTTTTTACAATAACATTTTCTTGTAGATTGGTGAGTTTGTAAGTAATGGCATTATTGAGTTCAGTATTAATTAATGATACATAAAAAAATTTTCATATTATGCTGAAGTTATTATTGGCTTTGTCAATTTTGGTAATTATGAACTTTTGTTTTAAATCCTGTAAAAGAGGTATGAGAATATTCCACTGTAAATTGCTATTAAATTCAATTATTCAAATTTTTTTGCTTGAATTCTTCTAATACTGCATGTTTCCATGCCATAAAGGTAGAATTTGGAATATTTAATTTGAAACTAGTTTTAACTATAAATTCGTCTTTATTTTTTACGAAACTTTTAAAACTGTGAGGTTTGTTAATTTTTAGTACTGGTCTAAATTTGGTACCTTTTTCCATTAAAATTCTTAAATGTTGGTTTTGAACTATTGCTAAATTGCCTGTTATAATATGTTGATGAAATTTATCGATGAAATCTTTGTATTGAAGCTCTTTACAGTATCAATGGGCTGTAGAAGCTAATTCATGGTGGTTAATTAGCAATTTACTAAGGTTTTTGATACTTGAAAGCTGGTGATCTGTACTTTGGTAGCTGGAAAAAGTTGTTGACTTTTTCTGAAAATTTTG